AGATGTAGCTTTCATTGTTTTCTCAGTTTTCCAAGCCAGGTTTTCTCATTCGCATATCCCATAATACAACAAAATCTCACAAAGTACAGAAATGTGTCTGAGGGAACGACAGTCTTCTCACACACACACACACACGCGCGCACACACACACACAAATCAAGTTGTGCAGTGAAATAAGACACAGAAGCCCTATAATGAATTTTGTCTGACAGTGCAATTCAGTTGATATAATAACGTAATTGTAGTAATAGAGGGTTTTCTAGTATAGATAAGCTTTTAAACAGCATAAATATTTTCATTGATGCAGTGCTGGATATTTTGACATTGTAAGAAGAGTGTGGAAAGCTGATTCTGGATATCTGCATCTACAGTTTATAGACTGGTCTGCATAGGAGGGCCATTCGACACAGTCTTTGAGCAATGGCGATCAGCTGAACACCCAACTGAGATTATTTTGAAAACATCAGTGTGAGATTTCCAAAAAGCATAAGGACATTATGGCTGTATATTCCAGAAAGTGGTCATTGAGCCCTTGACTATATTGGGTTGAATTAATCGCTGTTATTAGTATGGGGTTTTTAGATGACCAAGTCAACCATTGACCTAGACAGGTCAGACTTTCGAACAGCTATTTGAAATGCGTGACACATTCTGGACAGAAGTGGCTGTCACGGCCTGTAATGGAGGCACTTTTGTGGGAAACATCACTTAATTGTGGCTGATGCTGCTGAATTAGTCACACTTCCATACTGCCAGGAAATCAGACACTGTAGTGGAAGATTAGCTCTTCTAATTCAAGACAGGATGTTTTACAACATGAATTTACAGAAAGAATTGCAGTAATGAAATAATCCAAATTCTGCTCTTTAGTCATAAAGGTGCAGTACCCATTCCAACCAACATGGCACAAATGTGGATTTTTCTGGGAGCAAACTATGGCTCAAAACACAAAGTGTGAAATTTTGGATTAGTACCAAATCTGTGTCACTAATGGCACAGAATAGCTATCAAATAATTAGTTGAAAGTTTGTAAGCACAGACATCTTTCATGATCACATAGGAAACTCTTGACAAGGTCTCCTCACTTTTAATGTTGGTGTGCTATTTAGAAATTGATCCTAGAATGTAAAATCTAAAATCCACTGCAGAAGCATTTTAAGCACAAATTCATGATAAATTTCACTCACAGTTATGTAGATTTTACCTGTTGATGTTTTACTATGAATTTTACAAAAACTTTCTACTTTTCTTCCCTAAAACACATTCATTTACTTTAAATGGCAGAAAGAAGTGTCTGAAGTTCAGCATCCTTTCTTAGCTGTTTATCTATTTGGTGTCTTATCAACAGGATCAACTATATCAAGTATTGAAGTCTTGCTTACATTATGAGTAACTGACTGTTCCCTTTGGTGTATCCTAACTACGCCCAATTTCCCTTGGGCGTCCCATGCTTGTTGCATGTTGTTCTGTCAGCTGGGGACAGCCAGCGTGTCTGTTTTTAGCAGTGACGTGTTGAGCAGCACACACAAGGGAAGATGCAATAGCTATTTAGCAAGGACATGATGTAAGGGAATAAACATCTCCCGCTGACTTCTTGTCCTTTCTGGAAAAGTTACTTGTTACTTCCATTTTACCAGTGTTTACAGAAGAAAGGTACAGCTTTGTGAATTAAAGGCTTGCAAAGCTTAGAGTTTTCAATCTCCAGCCCCATGGATTGCGTTTAGCCTGCCAGAATAATTAATTCAATGTGTTTCTCAGGAAGCCTCAGATTTTTCCTATCACACTTCCACATCTTAATGACACCACACAGTCTGTTTCTTGAGTTTTATGTTGATATTTCTATCAACATAATATTATTACCTGCAAGGCGAAGCTGTAATTATTACAATTTCCTATGCTGAACAAGCCTAGAGCCAGTATACGCACATTCCAGCTTAACAAGCCCTTATCTCATCATCTACTGTCTTAATTGGTACAAGGTCACAAACCCTTCTTCTGGATCAAAAGCAAACTACTATAGGATCCAACTTGACTACCTCCTAATTCCAAGTGGAAAAATTTCTCTGTGAATGGGTGTCATAAGGACCAAATTTCTTTCTGTTTGTGTTTGTGCTTGCTGTGATTTTAATACAGTTAAGTAGTAAAAATTTAGACAATTGCCATCACAGTTATGTAATTTTCTTTTACAGGCAGATGGGAGGCACAAATGATGAGGGCCATTAGGAAAGACTTAGCACCTCAGAAGTTACAATCAAAACACAAACTATGATATATTGGTGCTATAATATGGCATGCCAAAGGCCCTTTTCTTGGCAGCTCCTCTGAGAAACAGTATTTAAAGAGTGGAAGCAATACTTAAAAGTTCTACTTGATGTATCACACATGGTTCGTTTTAGAGATTCATGAATTAAATTGGTCTTGGGAGGAGAAAAAGAAAGAAAGAAACCACAACCCCACAGTCCAGAAATAATTGAAAGGAATGTACTGTACTGTGGACCTTTTATTAAGTACTGTGTGTACGTTGTAACCTTCATCTCATCCAAGATCACAGATTCAAAGACAGGAAAAAATAGGAAGAAATAAATCTCCCCAAGGGCTTGCAGCTAATTAATGTCATTTGAAAAAATCTGTTTCTTTGTATCTTGCATATAAATAGCGTCATAGCACAAAGCTAGGTAAAAAAACCCTGAATTGTGCAACATTTTCAAATGTTGGTGCTGATTTCAAAATACTTTTTATTATTCACTGTATCTGGTACAGTAATTCACAAATTAATACACTTGCAGAAATGGGAAACTTTGCTATAGCACTATGACAGAAAAGTAGTTCCTGAAGCATTTTGGTCTCAAAGTTAGCATGAAGATCTTGTCTTCTGAAAAGATCTAAAATTTTAAATGAGTGAATCTGCAGTTTTGTTTTCTCTTTATATAGCATTTTAGAGGGTTACTAAAATGTAAGTGTTAACCTAAATTTATATAGTTTTCCTAGTTGCTGGTTTTGTCTTTGCATTTACATGGATCAAAAATAACTGAAGAGATGTTGGCTCAATTTTCCATCAACATACTGAGGAATATGGCAAAGGCAGATATGCAAAGGGAAGAGACACAAGTAGTACAGGGTTGGTTAAAAATAGTAACAAAAGTGCATGAGAAGCCTTCATATACAATTTAAAATTTCAGTGGAAGTTTGCATTCAACATTATCCTACATAAGCTGTAAACCTGCAACAGCAGGAAGTACTGAGTGCGTAGCATCAATGAATCAGATCCACAGACCTACTTCAATTTCACGTCCCCATATTCATTCACGTACACCAGTCATTTTCACTTTTTTCCTTCGCTTCCTTGACTACCAAAATCACTTGTGAAATGAAGAGTACAGAGGCTGTCATTGTAAATTTGTGATCAGGACTAAACATATTGCTTACACTTGGACTTAATGGCGGAGTTCTGGTTAGCATTACATCTCCTCCTTTCAAGTCCCCATTTACACAGTGTTCCTTCCACTTACAGATTGCTGCTGTCTTGAGCATTATTTCTACCTTGGCTCAGTAAACGCTGTTTTCCAACAGCATAAGAAAACCCAGTGCAATTTTTTTTTTTCAATTAATGTTTGAAATGTTATCAGCAACATAGTTAAAGAAGTTTGTGTAGACAATGGTCGTCTTACATTTTACACATGAAATATTTCTCCTGGTATGTTGATACAAGACATCTTGCTGCAGTAAGAGCAAGGTATTTGATTCAAGGAGGCAAAAAAAAAAAAAATCAGGCCAGGAGATGCTGCATTCTTTTAGACCAATAGGTAAGAAAGTAGTCATCTACTAAGACTGAAAAAAATGGGGAGTCGCTTCTGTTAATGCAAGTTTGCCATTCATGGTCAATTTATGATGCAAATTACCTGAAACAGTAGGAGTTGTAAACAGAAAGTAAGCTTCAGATCTTCCAAGACCTACACCAGACCACCAGCAATGGTCTGAGACAGACTGCAAATGAAACCTCAGCCTTTCAGGTAGTTTCATCATAACATTACAAAAGCTTATCAGCAGCTTAAAGAGACAGCTGCAGCCTAGCTAGCAGAGCAAAGTGAGGCTGCTTGAAGACAATTTTCCTCCTGCAGCAAGAACTTTAAAGTCTTTTTATTATTAAAAGATAATTTTAATAGCATATGGTTTTACAGTAAGGTTTTATGTACATGTAATACACAAATTAAACAAATACATATTGACAAAGGTTGCAGGTAAGGCGATTTTCTTCCCAAACTGTTTATACAGCACTGAATGTTCTCATGACTTTGTTTTTAGACCTAAAGTAGGATAAAGCCTATATGCATATAGGTGTTCATATACTGTGAACTAGAACAAGCTACCCAGCATTCTTTTCAAAATTTCAAAAGAATTGTAATGACTTTTTTCTCCAGTCGGAGATATAACAATCTTTAGTTAAAAAAAAAACTCTCTCAGTTGATATTTAATCCTGCTGTCATTACTTTGCCCTCTATTAACTCACCACTATTGATTTATTAATACCATGCTGACTCTAGACTGCAAGGTTTTTATATCAGGAAACAATGTAACAGATTCACTGGTTGTAACGGCCTGTGTATTTTGGGTATCTGTGAAAGCGCATTCGAATCACTGAGCAATAAAACACAAACCATACAAATAATGATATTTGGTCTATAATTTTTTCAAATGTTGTAAATATAAAGCATTGTAACAAAAAGTTCCCTTTAAGTGGTACATCCAAAAGCAGCAGGTCACTGATATGCTCCTAGAAAAGATGCAAAGTTTGTCCATTCTAGATAGGATTGTGAACAAATAACTGTGAATCCATTACTTTCATCCTGTACTGAAGGGCTCTTACTACTTGCTAAATTTATCTTCCTGTCTGGATAGGAAATCATCTAGCTAACAGTGTCTCCGATTTTATTTAAATCATTTCTTATCAAAGTAATCTTTCAGAACCACAAGTGATCTTCCAAAAGACAGCAGCTTCAGACTTACAAGTTTATGTTCCTTATAGTTTCAAAGACTTCATCATGGAACCAGGTGTCAGTAAACACATTAGAGTTTTGCAAAGCTTCAAAAAGACGCCTATAGTCTTCTGGGTATAAGTTACGTGCTTCAGCATTTCCTGGAATTTCTAGCTTGCTCAGTACTTGGTCACCACTGTCCAAGCTCCATGAACTGAAACAAAAAATCATAACAGAGCATTTCTTTATGTGAAAAATTAAAGAGCAAGAAACAGTATCTGAAGGCCCATTTCACTCTTCCACATCTTCCTACAACACAAGATATTTTCAATCCATACTGCAAACAGGAAGAAACCTCTGCTAAATAAGACATGTAAATACCAAATAAAGCCCCCAGCAGACCTAGACAATACCAAACCACATAAGCCTCCTCATTAGAGGGTGGGTGCCCTCCCTTCCTCCTCCACCCCAACTGCATAAGTCAGTAACAGGCATTTCAGCATAAAAAGGGATTATTCTTCAATGCCTGGGAAATTAAAGCCAAGGTCATCTTCAAGAAGATGATTCAGTATAGCATGAGTTAGTGTGATTTACACCTCCCAGGTATTTTTGTCTCTGTATAAACAGATGTATCCACGGTCTCTCCATCTGCATCATTGCTATGAAAACCAGACCTTTTACAAATGCATGTATACATTAACTATTTCCCAGACAGCAAAAGGGTGTATGAATACACAGAAGATGCCTTCAAGGTTAGTTCCACTTCCTGGCCGAAGGATCAAGTGGAGATAAGGTACACCACTGAGCTTTAAGAAAGAAATACATTTCCACTTGTCTTTGCTAAATGAGCTACTGCAGTTTATTAGTTTGTGGGGGTTTTCAGTTTTATTTCCTTTCTGGAAATTAACTTCTGTAAACCAATGAGAAAAATTCTAATTATTTTTGTTAACAAGTCAAAGTCAATGCTTTCCAGACTGCAAATACTCCCATTTATGGGAAATGGAAATCTACTGATCATAAAGCAAAGTGAATAGCTCCACTGTAATAACAAAAATAATAATTAAAGAGAGTTGCATAATTGGTAAATAAGTCTGAAGCCTGTTTTTTTAATTAGATAATAGAAAGTCATTTGAGGACATCCTCACTCCACCTTCAGTAACCTTCAGCTGTTTTCATTAGTGTTACTTTGATATTTGTTATAAACTGAACCTCTTTTTCAGCTTTTAATTTCTATACCTGGAAAACTTGCTAACTTTATTATTGTCTGTAGAGCAAGTGAATCTTCTTGCAGATACATGACCTCACCTCCATGGGAGGTACAGACAATTACTGCGTATTTTCATTCTGAATATTTGTCAACTTTCCTGCCAAACCTCAAGTTTTTATCATCTGTGAATACAGGCCAGGAACAGTACCCAAAATATTGTATTGTGGGTTGCAAAAATGAAGTCTTCAATATGTAGATAATTGATTTGGGAAAAAAAAAATCTGTATTTCTGTTGCAGATAAATAGCAGTTTGAGAACACATTTTAATATTTTCCTCTATTTCTGCAATTCTCACTTACTTTAATCTATCAATAAGTCTAGACTTCGGTTTAGCAAGACACTGTTTCACCATGAAAATAAAGGTAGCTGAATTCGTGGGCTCCAAGCCTCCTGTAAATAAATTTTTCTGAGGAGTCAATCGTACCAAACAAAAATGGTCATTTGGCAGCCTCTGCAAGAAAAACAAAACAAGCCACTGAAAAGTCGATTTTATCATAGTGTTCATCTTTAACTAAGAGTAAGTGTTTCATCTGTGCCACCAGTAACATTTCTTAAAGAGTTTTAGAAGTCTTAACAAGATTATTTTGTTGGAAGCTGAGGCTTTAAAATTTTGTTCTAGAATGGAGATGCTTTACATCCTCCCACCCCCAAAACAGGAAAAGAAATAGGAAACAAAACAGATATTCTATCGCTTTGGTTTTATTTTTTAAGACTGAACTTTCTTATTTGAAATAGACAATGCAGGCTTGATGCAAGTTTTCAAGAAATTACATGGCCTATAGTATTCCTATACTATGCAAAGTTTGAGATCTACCTGCCTTTTATATATAAAGTCAGAATTATTTGAGTGTAACACTAAGACAATATTGCAACTTCAGTATTTTAAAATTGGGAAGGGATGGAGCCTTTAAGTGAAATAACTGTACTTCTGTATTGGCATCAGTGGCTATATCGTCCAGTAGATCTCACATCTGTACTTCTCCTAAGGCTGTCACAATACATCTTACACCTGACAGGCCTCTCTTGTGGCTTCACAGCAATACACTGAAGTGTGTAAGGCACACGCAGTCATTTATAGTCACTGATATAGTACCATAACATTTCAAACAATACTCAATATACTACTGTGGCAGTTTTCTGGGGAGGGAAAAACCAAATATCAAGTAAACATATTTTTATATTATTGGTATTAAATCAAAATATGCTTATATTATACAAAGGAACATTGTTACTTCTACTAAAGAGAAAAGTAAAGAACTTTACACAGATTGTTTTTCCACTTCTCAAATTTAAGCTTTGAGATTCACCCTTTCCAGCAATTAACTAGCACACGGAACCTATACTGGACATGGGATAACCATTTTAATCATAACCAGCAGCACACGGATTGTGCTACTAATGATGGTAACACTTGTTTTGTTCAAGCAGGTAGATGTGACCCTGTCAGAAACTTCTTTTGAAAAAGACTTTTACCTGTTCACATCCCTTTATGCTGCTTATCCACTATATTTTTCCATCATAGCCAATAAGGATAACTAGTTTATTTCCCTTTCTGAGCTAATAGCAGTTTGTCACCCCACTGCTGATGTATCTGCATGCTGCCTCTAAGTTGTAATTACTAGAACACTTCTTAAAAAGATACACTATTCACAGCCAAAAAATATGTGTAAATGCTGTTATAAAGTTATTTTAACCTTTAATTAAAAGCAGTTTAGCTGCATCTCCAAAAGGATAAAAGTGCACACAATGATCTTACCATGCTTTTTGGTACTGCCAGTCCCCCATTTTTCAAATTAGTTACAAATGATGACCAAGGTTCCTATGGGAAGGAGCAAATATATTACAGACTTAAAGTGCTTTGTTAGGACTTGGAAAAATATTTACCATCAATCCAGTCAAATCAGAAGTTTAACCGCATTTCTAAAATTTACTTTAAAATCATGTAAATATATTAGAACTAGAAAAAAAAAAGGTCAATTCATGAGCACACAAAGGCCAGAGTGTAAACATTATTTAATCACAAGTATCTGAACAGTACTAGTAAATTACTTACAATCAGAAACTTGTATACATTTCCACACAAGTGAGACTACCTATTAGTTTTGAGGTCAAAATTTGAATCAAAGCTAAAAACTGACAGCTGACCGTAAGAGCTGCTGTACTGACTCCAAAGTTCCACCAGCTCAATAATCTGTCTCCTGAAGTAGCAGATGTATACCAAACACTGTACAACCAAGGGCATGCATATGTAAGATTCCTTGAGCATCATCTTATTCTTCAACTTCTTTATATTTACCTTAACATATACCTCATGTATAAGGTATTTAGAAGACAAAGATAATGAAACTTTTAATTTTAGATTAGCAAAACATTTAAATGATGAAGGTAGGTTCCTAGAAAAACAGAGCACAAACAAAGATAAACCTATAAAACAAAGTGCAAGTTGATCGCCATGGACTCATGTGGAGGTAGGGGCACAACATAAAAAACTTTCTAAAACTAAACCATAGCATGTTTGACAAGGTAAGACAGTTACTGATTAGCAGAAGAAGCAGGCCTGCTTGGAACATAAAGGCACCAAGACTGGAAACCACATTTCTACTGAACACAGCTCAGGAAGTCAAAAGCATACATGATGGCAAAATGTGGAGGACATAACAAAGAGCAGACTATGACAGACTAGAAGAGTGGTCTTCTAGTCTCACACAACCCCTAGATGGAAAAGACTTATCTGTTGCACAAACATCTCTTTATCTACCAGCTTATGAGAATAAATGTTTCTGAGTACAGTGGCTTGTAATGAAAATACTGACATCATAGTTAATAATGATGCTACTTAAGTTTGACGTAAAACATGACTGTTTCAGGTTTTTACATGCATTCAATAGTTCTTCAACTAAACTAAATGTCAAATCAGCTTCCAATTAGTTTACGATAGTAAAACACTATAAACTCTTTTCTAAAAACATGTCCGTAGCATTAGACCATGTCAGCTGGTACAAAAAACTTACCATGTGCAATAGCTGAATTTCACATCCTACTTGCCAAAGTACAGTAAGTGCTTGGTAAATCCTCGTTTCCTCAGGCTTTGCTGTTAATACCTAACAAAATGGTGAAGAAAGAGCATTTTTGTTGCAAAAACTAAGACCACTTCTTTAACTAAGCAAAATCTTTTTATATATAACAAGTATAAGTAATTCATCGCTAAGTCTAAAATTATACAGTAGAATTCTACATTAGGCCTCAAATACATACTTTGTGCTATTTCAGTACATCTTGTCAGAACACATGAGATTAGAAGACATTATGGCAGTCTAAGTATTTCTTTGATGCAGTTATTTGGATAAGTCAGCTGTGTAGGAATTTCAAGCTTAAACTTTCTGGTCCCTTTTAAGGCAGAGAAGCTTCACACATAAGAGAAACAGGGACCATATTTTAATATAAAAACCATAACATGGGCAGAGTTATCAGCTCACAATAATAATATTCCCAACGAGACACACAAAGCAGAGTAAGCCAAACATCAGGTGACCTCACTGAGCATGAAGCAGTTTGCACAGTCATCATCCCAAACAATATTACAGATCAGAGAACTCCTAGGGCAAGAAAAAGAACTTGTAGCTTTTCTCAAACAAGGCAAAGTAAATCGTAGCAGTGAGATTTAACTTCTCATAATAAATTTAGAGAGCATCATTATATGATCAACCAAAACACAAAAAGAAGATTCCAATTGCTTTTACTTAGGTACACAATTCTCATTTAACAATGTTCACAATAAAACCAGGAAATTTCATTAAAAACACAGTGACTCCATAAATGGAGAGGCTGCCCCCATTTGCTCAAAAATCCAGCCACTAAAAACATACCATTTAAAGGGGTATTTTAGTGGTGTTCAACCTGTCATTTTGTGGAAGAATATACTTACTTTTTTTCACTAGGGTGTTAGACACAACACAGGTTGTGTAAGCACACCTGGAAGTCTTTTGCTTACTTATAATTAAAGGTTTGTGGCTCTATATGAACCTCACAGTTTCGCAGAACGAAAAGATACCCATGAACTGTAAGTACAGTTCTGGAGGTCTGAGACAGTGTAAATTAGGAACACGTAACTCAGAAAGCTGCTCTGCACCTTAGTATAGAGAACTTTAATTAAAAGGCATGTAAATCACTCATATTTTGCCTGTTTTTTTCAGTACTGCATACAAAAGTGGCTCAAGAGGGCAATACATCTCACAGAGTATGGCATTTAGTAACACTGATTCCTCTTCACGAGAAGTTTTGAATTCAGTCTTCACTATTACCTGACACTAGTAAACAATTTTGGTGCAAAAGCACGTTACAGAATTTAAGCACCTCGCAAGTTATAGTGGAAAGCAGCTCATGTGCTGCTGCACATCCTTCTCAAGGACCAGCCCTCACATATGTAAGATTTGTGGTTATGTGGCAACAGAATTTGTTGTATTACGTGGCAACAGTTTCTTGACAGTGTAACTACTGTATAGAGAACAAATAGGAAACAGACAAGACTTAATTTTAGCAGAAGAAGAAATTCACTAGCAAAAAACATTAACTATACAATATAAATGTTTGTGTGTTCTGTGAAGCACTACTTATTCTTTATGACCTATAAAACCTCTTATACATACCTTGTACTCTTTTTCACTTATAAAGATGTTGAGTTCTACTCTTCCATATTTGTATATGGAACTGCATTCATACAGGGCAAAAAGAAGCCTCCAAAGTGTGTTCCTTTCCTTTTTTTGTGGTAAGATTCCAAAAATTTTCAGAGGTACATCTGTTTCAACAGTGTGTAAAAGTATCTTTACAATTTTGCAATATGTACTAGACAATCTCACTAAAGCTAATGTCTAAACTACAAACAATTAAGAAAACAGTCTGTCAGCTCACGTTGCTCAAGAATGAACACATTTCAAGCTTTAGTCCAAGCTAAGCCCAGTTTGCATTAGACTAAACCTTTAATAAAGACAAGAAAATAGCTGAGATTTCTGACTGCCACAAGGGTTTTTTTTCAAACTATCAAGAACCTAAATAAAGCTGAAATGTAGGAAATAATATCCATTAATCGAGTACATACATTATGTAGAACGTACACCCCAAGCAAATCCCAAAGCTTCTGCCAAACTTCCTATGTACCCATCAAACATATTTGTAATATGTGTAATTATATACATATACCTGCCCTCCAAGGAACTGCTGCTACACCCATGGTTTCAAAAAGTTTGTCAGAATACATAGCAGGTGGCTTCACCGTTCCAGTCACCAAAGGATCCAGTCTGAAGAAGTCACCATAAATTACCTTTAATTGTCCATCCAGGCTATTCTCTAGGGACTGAATAAAATTAGTTTCAGTTGAAGAAATCTGGATGCAGTAACCTGTCTTGCAAAACATCCAACCCAACAAAAAAAAAGTTCAAGCACTACCTAAAATTGTTACTCAGTCAACAGGAGTCAAATCTCAGAGCTGCTGCTTACAGCTGATAAAAAGAATATGCTTTCTCCACCGTGCAGGGCATTTTGACATTTTTGTGCTACTCAACTGAAGCTTTCAAACACATTCTTAAATTAACAGGATGTTTCTGCAATGTTTTGCAAAAAAAAAAAAAGTCATACTCAACTAAGCAACTGCATTTAATAATTTACAACTGGAATTCTTCATATATGCAGAGAGAATGCCTTTTATAAACATCTTCAATCAGATGAAAGTCTTTGATGCCACTTTACAGCATTGTAACACAATCCTCCTAGTGCAACTTCTGCAGCTCGGAGTCTGACCACCTTTGAATTCATGTAAAGCCAAAGTGAACAGGAGAGGACAACAAGTGCAAGTGTCTTAATATTACCAGGCAATTGCAGGGCAACAGATTAAATAATATAATGAGATAATCAGAATGACCAAGACTATTTTTTACAAATTTCTGAAAGCTACATACAGACATCTTGCCTAAACATACACAGCTACAGTGACTGATTAGTATTAGCCTCAAATTGATACATAAAACTATTCATAGGAAGACCACAACCTTCAATTTCTGCATACACAAAATGTTCAATCAATTGATAACAAAATAGCCTGTTGCTGAACGTGCAATGTAAAACCAAACAACATTTACTATTATTAAGCATTATTTCAGATGTTACAAGTAACAATCACTGAGTAATTCCTTTTTGATCCAATAGTAATTACACAATTGTAAGTTAATTGTTTTATTTTCCCTTCAACCAAGTTTTAGAAATGTGCTACCAAATAAAAAATGTACCTGTAAGTTTGGAAGAAAAGCTAAGTTACTTTCTAGAGCTACGACTCTAACACCTGCATTGAGCAGAGTTCGGGTCAAGATTCCAGGACCTGAATGAGAAAAATAATAATAAAAAAATTATAATTAAAGTGCATTTTTCCTAAGCCATTTCCTTGAGTGATTTTCCCAACACTTGGGACACACCACCTTCAAGAAGAGATAACTTGTGTTTGTTTAAACTCACTTCAAAACTTAGAAAAAATATTTACACACAGCCTGAGATTCCTCAGTATATTACACTAAGCACAGTGTTACAATTAGATACTGAGGAACATTAGATACAATCTTTCAAATATTCCTACTACGTTTTCTTCTGCCAACTGAAATATACTTTGAAACCTTACCCATATTATCTCTACAGACAAAATATCCTTTGCAGAAAATAAAAAAAAAAGTAGCTGCAGAGGGCCAACTGTGTAATGGCACACAGTCCTGCTTTTACTGACAGTGTTTGCCTACAAAACCAAAAGTATAACCTAGACAGAAATTAACATTCCTCCTTAGCGGTTTTAACACCAGTGGCTCAAGTCTGTATAAATGGGACC